AAAAAAAAAAAAAAAGAAACAAACAAACAAATAAATAGAACTCTATCTGGGTGTAGGGTGTGAACCTGTCATCCCAACACTCAGGAGGCTAAGGCAAGATCAGGAGTTCCAGGCCAGCCAGAGCTACCGACCGGGACCCAATCCCAAATTTAAAACAAAACAAACAAACAAAAAAAACCCCACAAAATCCAAAGAAGGTGAGTCTCCTTTTTTCAGAGCATTCCATGACCCACATGTAGAGGTCATAGGACAACATACAAGAGATGGGACTCAGGCAGTCAAGTCTGAGAGGGTGGCCACCCTCACATGCGGAGCCACGGAGCCACAGCTCAGGTCCAGAGGAGACTTTTTGTAAGAGCTGACATCGCCACCCGGTGAGGACCGGGGGAACAGATAGCTCAGAAGACCTAGGGACACAGGCACAGGATGTGGTCAGAAGGACCAGGCCCGAGCCCTTTAAACTAACAAATAGATAAGGGGCTGAGGCTCAGGGGGCAGAGTGCTCTTCTGGTCATCACAAAGCCCTGGGCTCGACCCCCAGAGGCACTGGGAGGGGGGCAGGCGGATCTCTGTGAGTTCAAGGACAGCCTGATCTGATGAGGGTGACCTGAGACCTGGTCTGCACAGTGAGGTCCTGTGTCAATAAACAAAACCAAACAACTCACAACTCACTTCCGGTGGGCGCGGCAGCTCAAACCCTAGAGAACGGAGTGAAGCAGGAGATGCTTTCTGATCGATCAGGCCAAAGGTTTTTGTGTTTGTTTTGGTTTAGTTTTTTTTGGTTTTTCTGAGGCTTTTTTGGTTTTCTGTGTAGCCCTGGCTGTCCTGGAACTTGTTCTGTAGATCTGCCTGCCTCTGCCTCCCATTAAAGGTGAGCACTCCTACCCCACCCCCACCCCGCCTGGCTCCAGGCCAAAGCTTCTGTTTGCAGACAGAATCTCCCTATGTAGCTCTAGTTGGCCTGGAACTCACAGAGATCCCCCTGCCTCTGGAGGGCTGCTTTACAAAGCTTCCTATTTTGTGTTTTAATTAGACCTCATGAGGTCGTCAGGAGGACCACTCAGAGCAGTGGAGTGTGGGGGCTGGGGGGGTGCTGAGTGGGGAGAGTACTCTCCAGGCAGACACTGGGCACCTCAGGAGACGCTGGTGATTCTGGCACTGAGGAGGCAGAGCAGCGGGATCTGGAGTTCAAGGCCACCCTGAGGCACATTCACGAACAAAAGGCAGGGGCTGGTGAGATGTTCAGAGCGCTAGCTGGCTGCTCTTGCAGAGCACCATATGGGGAGCTTACAAACGCTGTAACTGAGCTCCAGGGGATCCCAGGCCCTCTTCAGGCCTCCCTGGGCACTGCACACAGGGGATGCACAGACATACACAGACACAACACCCATGCACATAAAAATTTAAAAAACAGGCTGGAGAGATGGTTCAGCAGTTAAGAGCACTGGCTGTTCTTCCAGAGGTCCTGAGTTCAATTTCCAGCAACCACATGGTGGCTCACAACCATCTGTAATGATATCTGGCTCCCTCTTCTGGCCTACAGACATACGTGCAGGCAGAACACTGTATACATAATAAATAAATAAATCTTTAAAAAAAAAATTTAAAAAACAAGGGGCTGGAGAGATGGCTCAGAGGTTAAGAGCACCAACTGCTCTTCCAGGGGTCCTGAGTTCAATTCCCAGCACCCACATGGTGGCTCACAAGCATCTGTAATGAGATCTGGTGCCCTCTTCTGGTGGGCAGGGGTACATGCAGGCAGAACATTGTATACATAATAAATAAATAAATAAATAAATAAATAAATAAATAAATAAATAAACCTTAAAAAAAATTAAAAAACAAAACCTCAAGTCCCAGCACCCACACAGCAGTTCATAACTGTCTGTAACTCCAGTTCCAGAGAACCCTCACACAGACATACATGCAGACAAAACAGCAATGCACATGAAATAAAAATAAATAATTAAAAAGAAACTCAAAACAAAGCGGAGACTGTCAGGATTCTAACCTGGAGCCCTGGTCTCCACTCTCCTGTTTTGTTTTTTTTTTTTTTAGCAGTTTGCCCCATCTGTAAAGTGAGGGGATGAACAGTTACCATTGTAGCGTATTCTGAAGGCTAATAGTTTTACTATTCCAGACATCCTTCCAGCATTGCTCAGAAAAATTATCAGATTGCCACATCTAGGGTCAACAGGAGCTGGTAAGTAGGGCAAACGTGGGTTAGAGCGGCTGGGTTCTTGGGCCACACCAGGCCAATGCATGTCTAGACTTTTTTTTTTTTTTTCTGGAGACAGGGTTTCTCTGTGTAGTTTTGGAGCCTGTCCTAGATCTCGCTCTGTAGCCCAGGCTGGCCTGGAAATCACAGAGATCCGCCTGCCTCTGCCTTCCGAGTGCTGGGGCTAAAGGCATGCACCACCACCGCCCGGCGTGAGCTCCTATCTTTAAATAAACAAATAAATGCAAATAAAAAGTAAACTTGGAGGAGCAGCGAGGCGGGCTTATTGAGATCAGCAAGCTTGGCTGCTTCTCCAGACAGGCCTCTGGACAGTAAATAGAGCACTCTTGCGAGCCAGTCAGGCAGATGCAGAAAGTCAGGCCCGGCTCATAATGCCAGGCGCCCACGGATCCTGTCCCGCTCCTGCAGCAGCCTGGGCGGTGCACCTGCCAGCACTGCCCACCCTCCGCGGCACTGTCCTGCACTGTCCTGCCTGGGCCCTCAAGGCTCCAACTTCACCGCCAGACAACTCGGCCCCGCCCAGGCCCATAGGCCCCGCCCCATCACCAGGCCCTGTCCTTAGTAAAAGGCCGAACTCCAGCCAGCAACCCCGGACATCTACCCTAGCCGTCAGGCCCTTCCTTGCTTCCAACCCCACTCCCAGCCCCGGACAGGCCCGGACTTCCACCTAGCCTCAGGCGGGAGACTGGGCCGCTGGCAGAAGCCTGGACCTTCTCCTACCCCATAAACACCTACCCCATGGCTCTGCCCCCATCCGCAGCCCTCAGCCCGCCGGCCCTGCTCCTTAGCTCGGCTCCTCAAACTTAGCAGAAGGGCGACCCCACCCCACCGTCCTGGCCCCGCCCCTAGCAGAAGGCTGGACGCTGCCCTAGCCCAGGCTCCATCCGGTGTGGCCTGCAGCCCTTCCCAGCGCACCGGCCCCATCCGCAGCAAAAGGCTGGACTCTTCCCCAGCCCCCAGTGCAGGGCCATCCCAGTCCATAGGTCCGGCCCCAGCAGGACTCTACTGGTTCCGGCCAGCAGCCCCCCCCCAGCCTTCAGGTTCGGCCCACCCCGGCCCTAGGAGGGACAGCCTCCCAGAGCAGGGCCCCACCCCTTGTGATGCCCCCCACCCCCCGATCCCAGCCCTCGGCCAGACTCCCTCAACCCCCGCCCCAACCAGTAAGCCTCGCCCCGCAAGCATGCTCCGCCCGCCTGGTCCATCATTTAGCAAGACTCCCTCTGGGCGCACAGGCCCCGCCCCCGACTCCGCCCACCCGCCCGCACTAAGGCTCTTCTCCCTCTGGACCCCCAGGCCCCGCCCTCGACTCCGCCCACCCGCCCCACAATAAGGCTCTTCTCCCTCTGGGCGCACAGGCCCCGCCCCCGACTCCGCCCACCCGGCCCGCTCTAAGGCTCTTCTCCCTCTGGGCGCACAGGCCCC